AATAAAAGGACAACATTCTATGGATATGTGCTTTATAAATCACTAAATAAAATAAATAAAGAATTCCCTCAGCTTAAACGAGGGTTGTACTTTTGGCGCCGGCGACGGCATCACGTCCACGGCCTCCTTCCTCGCATTGTTAGCGGAGAAACACAACCACCAAAATCATCACACACACATCCTCCGAATGCTTCCCGGACATAAATACTTAAACTATAATCAAGTATCACATGTTTTGTCGCTGACGCGGCGAGCGAGGCCTAATCCTACGCGAGTCGTTCGTGATACTGTCGCCGCTGCAACAGGCTGGGTGGGTTTGTGCGGCCCCACCGTGACTAGGAGCTCGCCTACAGGAACTTATCACTCTAACCATTCACACGCACACTCACGCACTCACGCACTCTGAGCTGGCGGGGACGGGCGTGCCAGTGTGAGCCACGTCCAGCGTGGCCACGCGCGCCCGCCCGCGCTCGACAAGAAACAACGAAAATAAATACAGAAACGCTACGAGATTCACACTAAGGATGGCACTTAGACTAGCGGCGGCATCCCCGACCGAAGGTTGAGATCACGTCTAAGTGGAAATAATACTAGCGACAGGCCGTGGCCATGGCGAAGAGGGGCGGGGGAGGCCAGCTCCGCGCCGCCCCGTCCGCAGAGGTAAATGCAGTCAGGCGCAGGAGCAGCTCACGACCCGCATGTCGCTCAGGGGCTTCCTCTTGAGCTTGGTGGGGTCGTCCTCGTCCAGGCGCAGGATTTCGAGCGGCTGGAGGCGCTCGGGCGCGCAGCACGGCCGCGGCACGCGGGGCGGGTGCTTGTCGCCGGCGTCGCGCTGCTCGCGCTGCTCCCGGCGCCGCAGCAGGCCCTGGATCAGCGAGTGGTGGTTGGCCGGGTGGTAGCGGGGCGGGCAGCGGCCGCGGCACACGCCCGCGTCGAACTGCCGGGGCTGCACGATGAAGCCCATGACGGGGATGAGGTCCAGGTTCACCTCGAGCGCCTGCCGGCAGCACTTGGTGCCGTCGCGGCCGCAGTCGGAGCGCGCGGCGCGGCGGGCGCGGGCGTGCGCGGCGGGCTCGGCGATGGCGTTGACGGCGGCGCCCTCGCAGCGCACGCCCGCCGGGCAGCGCAGCTCCAGCAGCAGCGGCGCCCCCCGCGAGGACGCGCGCTGGGCCGCCTCCAGGACGACGAGCCGCTTCCAGCCGGGCCAGGTCGCCTCGTGCTCCGCGAGCAGACGGCGGCCTCCGCGCCACACCTGGAGAGGGACAGACAAAGACTGTGAGTCGCCTGTTCGGCACGCCGGCAGCGGGGCACGGCGGGGGGGATGAGCTGATCCGTGTCGGCAAACTCACCTCAAACACCCTGACGGTGCCCGGATGCTGCACCAGCACCCGCACCTCGGCGTCGTCCACCGCGAGGTCCGCGGGGAGGTCCACCCGGAGGTAGGTCCGGGGCGACCGGCGCGGCGACCGGCGGTCGCGTGTGCCCGCCTGGTGACCTGTCAACAGAGAGGCAGAGGAAAACGTCAGAGTCTGCACAGCAGAGGGGAGGGGGCACGAGAGAATCTGCGCGTATCGAAGGGTGTGTTGGCCGCGAGGTATGTGGAGCAGGCCTGCTTTTGTTTTCAGCACAACGCGCTCGCTATTGTTTTTCGTCGTGTTTTATCTTTGCCGCAGCAAGAGCAGCAAGCGTGAGGAAACATGTTTATGTAGGTGGATCAACACGAGACTCCCCTGCAGCTCGGCCCGGCCCGCCGGGGTCAATCCACGCATAGCGAGAAACAAAACGTATTGGGCCTGATAACGGAGGCGGGAGGAGAGGGTGGGGGTGATATGTACCGCCTTTGACCGTGTTTCTGCCCAAGTCAAACACTCCATTTATATTTTTCTTTCTTCCTTTTCTGGTGAAATGATAAAAAATCTCCCTTTGGCAGGTCGGTTTTCCCAGACGGCTCAAGTCAAGTCCCCTTCTCCCTCAATCGATTCGAGCAGAGCTCTCCGTTCCCGCGGCCCTGTATTCGTTGCTCGCCAGTCCCACGCGCCATTCAAACGCGACGCGACGCGCTTCGAGTCCAGCCGAGTGGACCCCGAGCTGGACTGCGTGATGCAAGTCCCAATAAATAAACCATACTCGACCAGCAGCACCAGCGGTGGCGTAACGGACGCCACCACGCCACCCCGCGTCCTCCTCTCACACATGGACGATAGCGCGCGGGTGGCACAAAAAAAGTTTATCAATTTCCCGTTTCAGCTCCATTTATTATCGCTCCCGCATCCCGGCCCCGGCCGCTAAACTTAGCACCGGCGCGCCGCTGCTGGACGCGCCACCGAGTACGGCATTCTATGCTGGACGATGTACGGGAGAGGAGTATGCGGATTCGGACCGTTCAGCACCTGTGCTATCTATATTTCCTTTTCATTCTTTCGGACACCTTCTCATTCTTTCGGACACCTTCTCATTTCTTGCGTCATGAGACGATGCTCACTACGCGTTGCTGGGGACCCCACGAACGGGGGCGCGGATTCGGGGAAAAACAGCCCAAGACATCCTGCTTACAATGTAACTTGAAAGGCGCACCGTGAGAGGGCGACAACAAAGGCAAAGGTGTATGCCCAGAGGGCCCAGAGCGGGCTCGCTGGGCTCGCTTTTCTGGAGCATTCTTCTTTGTCGCGTTTGTCGCCTTCTCCCGGTCGTGCGCCATTTTCATCTCTCGTCTTTCGTGATAAAATAACGGTGCTCACTACCTCAACAATATTTGCCGCAAAGCTCGTGAGCTAGTTCCTGGAAAGAGCGCGTCGCTCAACTAATTCGTCTGTCTCCCCTCCGAATGCCTGATGGGCATTCCTGACGAATCTGACCCGAGATGACCACGCACGGCGGCAGCTCTGCCGCCCCTCCGCCCGGCAAGGAGGGTCGCGCCCCGAGATCCGCGCGGGAAAATGAGACTCAAGCGCAAGCAGGGGACAGCAGCAGGCCGGCGAGAGGCGATTTCCACCGCCCGCGGCCCCAGCCAGCGCGCGTCGGAAAAATCCCGCGCACATCGAGGGTCGCGGTGCGGTCGCCGTGGTCACGGCCTCCTCTGGACGCGGACCCCGGCCCGCTTTATCGAGGGGAGCAGGGCTGTCACCAAGGTCCCCGGCGGCCCCCGGTCGCCGCCAGTGACAACACCGCGGCCCGCCCCCGAGGCAGGCGAGGCGGGTATCTGCCGTCCTTGCCCCGGTCGGCTTGACTGCTGCGCCCCGCAACCGCAGCGGGGCGGCATAGGCGGCGGGCGCGGGTCTAGGTGGGCCGCGCGGGTGGTTGGAACCCTATCACGGCTTCCTCGACGCACAGCTCCGATGTGTGAGAGCCGTCGGACGCGGAAGAGCGGTTGTGCCCCGCGGGGTCCCGGTGCACTGGCCGCCGCCCAGCCAGCCCACCCTGCAGCAGGAGCGGCCTGCTATGCTAAGCGAGGAGGAAGCGCAGGGACCGGGCGCGCGGCAGGACCCACGCAACTCAAGGCGCCGGGCCGGTCAGCTACAGACAGCAACACAACGCGCCGTTCCTCGTCGCCACCATAATTGCAGGTTATCGCTCCTGTCAGCGCCCCGCCTCGCATACCGCCACAGCAGTCGCTGGTCGATCACCGGTTTGATGAACTGCCCCGCACAACACGGCCGAACCGAAAATCCAATACCCTGGGCCGGGTGGTGGCGGGTCCGGCAGGTCCGGGTGGGTCCCCCCCTCTGGCCGCAAATGCGTCTCGCTTTTGTTTCACTGATGTAATGGCCGATTGTTTTGCTGGCCGGTCTGCCGAGCCGGAAGAGGGGAGCGCGCGCACCCGTTGCCCCGGTGCAAGGGTAATCGGAGGCGATTATCGGACAGAGTGTGTGTGAGTGAGTGAGGGGAGTGAGTGAGTGAGTGAGAGAGTGAGTGAGTGAAAGAATGAGGGAGTGAGTGTGCACACTCAAGTGAGCGCGCGCGAGCGGTGCTGGAAGAAAGCGGCATTGTTTTGATGCATCGTGATTTTGATTTCTTAACCGGACATTCCTATTTAAGCAAAGAGCCGCCTTTTACTTTTTCCGGAGAAAGATTCCCATTTACTTTCTGCCCATTACACATTACACCCAAAACGAAACGAGATCGTTTACGGAAATCGGTATATTTTGTACGACCGCCTTTCGCTGTGCAGTGTATATCCGCATTGTTTGTAAGGAGGACGAAAGGCAAGGTATCTCTTGCGTCATTCGTCTTGCCGGGGCTTTCCATGTCGCTTTTTTTTCGGCTGCTCTTATTTTTCATAGCGAGGCATTCCTAGACACCTTCGTTCCCACCGGCCGATCACGGCAGCCACAGCCAGCGGCCGCGGCACCCGCATCTCCGCGCGGATAGTAACGAAGAACTGAACGAAAGGAGCAGTTGTTGCTCACAGTGGCCCCGCCCCGCACCCCAGTGTTCTGCCTCACGGATGTTGTACCGGCGACCGACCGGTCCCGACGCATCTGAGAAATCTGCTGACTAGTCTGAGCTGGCGGCCTGAGTCGTCCGGAATCAAGACGAGCACAGCGGAGAGCGGGCACGGCGGCCGTACGTACTGGCGGGGCCGGCGGAGCCCCGAGGGCAAATCTTTCATCTCTCTCTCTCGGGCGCAACTGCCGGCGTGTACTGGAACCCGACTGGAACTGCAATCCTGGAACTCGCCGGTGACTCAGCCGACCTACCGGCGCTGCGCGTGGCGCGGGCGGGGCGGCGCGAAGCCGTAGTAGAGTATGACAGTTGACGAGGGCCCCGCGCGCACGAGGAGGCTACGAGGTCAGCCGCTCTCGCCTTGTTCGCGGGAAAATTCAAATAGAAAAGCAGGACCGAGAGCTGGTCATAGGCCCAGGAGGAGGCCAGAGCTGCTAGGGCCCTGCCCCGTTGTTTCCTCGGCGACAACGCGCCCGCGCACACATTTTTGCGGCTCTAACGTTAACGTCAAATAGCGCCTGAAGAAGAGAAATAAAAAGGCTCCCGCGCGAAGTCGTTTGGCCGGGAAAGGGGACTTCCCCGCGCGCCGCCCCCGCAGCAACTGGTTTCCGAAATGCAAATAGAAGATGGGACTCTGTGAGCGCCACTCCACGCCACGCACTACGCGCACCGGCGACCGCAACGCCCAGAGCCACGCTTCTTTATAGACCAGCCAGGGATTCCCCCGAAGGCATGGTAGTTGGGCCCAACAGGACTCGGCGCGGGAGAAGGTAAGGTAAAGGACGACGGCGGTAGGCAAAAAAAGAAAGGACGCGCAAGTAGGATGTGAAGGAGTTGGCGTGGTTGGAGATACAAGAGGTGGGCGGGAGGTATTTGGGGGAGGAGGAAGAGAGGGGAGTCTTCGCGGGTGAGTGAGTCATAGCCAGAGGCGGAAGGAACGCCGCGGGCCCACGACCTGGTCCGGTTTTGGGCGTGTGTGAGAGAGGGTACAG